TATGTGCAGCAGTTTATTTACGGGACCATATTCTGTTCCACTAGCATAAGTGTGTGTTTTTATGTCACTATCAATCTGTTTTAATCAATGTAGTATTGTGATACATTTTGAAATTAAGAACTGTGATATGTTCACCTTTTTTTTTTTTTTCTCTTTCAAGATTGTTTTGGCTATTTGGGGTCCTTTGTGGTTTCATATGCATTTTAGAATTATTTTTTCTATTTCAGTAAAACATGAATTAAAGCTCTAGATTATTTGCATCCTGTGGGGCTTTTTAATGATATGTTTTCCAGTCCATGAGCATGGGATATCTTTTGATTTGTGTCTCCTTTAATTTCTTTACAGTGTAGAACTTTTTTACCTTCTTAATTTATTCTTTTAAGTATTTTATTCTTTTTGATGCTAGTATGAGTAGACTGTTTTCTTAATTTCTTTAGCAAATCATTTATTGTTAGTGTACAGAAACAACTAATTTTTATATGTTAACTTTGTATCCTGCAGCTTTATTGAATTCATTTATTAGCTCAAGCAGTTTTCTTTTGTGGATTTGTGGAATACCTTTAGAGTTTTCTTCTTATAAAGTCATGTCATCTTCAAACACAGATTATTTTCCTTTTCTTTGCATGATAGCTCTGGTCAGGATATCAGTACTGTGTTAAATAGTAGTAGAAACTTGTTCCTGATCGTAGAGGAAAGTTTTTAATTTTTCACCCTTAGATATGTTTTTCATTGGGGGTTTCCGTATATAACCTTTATTATGTTGAGATAATTTCCTTTTGTTCTTAGTTTGTTGAGTGTTTATAAAAGGGTGTTAAATTTTGTGAAATACTTTCTCTTATCTATTGAGATGATCTTGTGACTTTTATCTTTCACCTGTGAATGTAGCATAAATCATATTAATAAATTTGTATGTTGGAATACCCTTGTTCTCAGGAGAGAAAAACCACTTGGTCATGGTTTGTGATTCTTTTAATATGCTATTGAATTTGTTTGTTTTATTTTATTGCATCATTCTTCATTTTGTGCATTTTTTTTTCATTTCAGTTGTGATTCCCATGACCTTCCCACCACTTGTTCACCTGTGTGCCATCATCATAGTTCTGTGCACTCTTCCCCCCCAGCTTTGATCCCATTCCCCTTTCCACCCATCTCTGACTTAAAGTTGTTTGTTTTCATTTTTATATTATTACATTTTCTTCTCCCTGTCTCTCCCACTACCCCCCCACCCCCCAATTAAACATCTGCTATTCCAGTATTTTTCGTTTTCTTCCTGGCTTATTTCACTGAACGTGATCCCTTCCAGCTCCATCCATGTTGCTGCAAAAGGCATGAGTTTATCTTTTTTGATTGCTGAGTAATTTGTTTTTTAAGTCTTTTGTTGAGGAGTTTTGCATTTACGTTCACCAGGGGTATAGTATATAGTTTACTTAGTGTCTGTCTGGCTTTAATATTGGTAATATTGGCTTCATAAAATGAATTTTGAAGTATTCTTCCCTTTTTAGTGTTTTGGGGGAATTTGAGGAGGATTGGTTTTAATTGTTTTTTCAGTATCTGGTAGAACTTACCAGTGAAGCCCCTTGTTCCTTGATTTTCCTTTGTTGGAAGATTTTTGATTACTGATTCAATGTTCTTATTAGTTTTAGATTTCTTTGTGATTTGATCTGGGTATATTGTTTCCAGCATTTACATTTTTTCTATGTTACCCATTTTATTGTCATAAAATTGTTTATAGTGGTCTCTTAGGATTCTTTTTATGTCTTTGACTTCAGTTGTAATATCTTTACTTTCATTTCTGATTTTACTTATTTGAGTCTCTTGTTTTCTTAGTTTACCTAAGGTTGTAATATATTGTGTTTTTCTTTTCATTTGTCTGAAGATATTTTATATTTTCTTCTTTTGCCCATTTGTTGTTCAGGAGTGTGTTATTTAAATGTCTGCATGTATGTGAATATCCAGTTTTCTTTCTGCATGAATTTCTAATTTAATTTCACTTGACTGGAATAGATAACTTGTTTTGTGGCCTAATAGTGATCTGTCCTTGAGACTGTTCCATACATGTTTGAATATGAATATATATTCTACTGATAATAGATGGAATATTCTGTATATATGTCTATTAGGTCCATTTGGTAACATTAGTAATTAAAATTACTACTATTTTGTCTGGGTGTTGAATCCATTGTTGAAAGTAGTATATTAAAGTCTCTTGTTATTATTTATTGCTATTTCTCTTTTCATTTTTTTTTAAGGTTTTATTTTTATTTGTTTATGCATACAAGAACTGGGTTACAGACCAGAGGTGCAGAGAGTGAGAGGACCGCCAGAGACAGAGTGGGGAGAACAGGCAGATCCACTGAAATTGCTAAGGTAGTAGTGAGTGAGACAGGAGAGGTCTGCTGTGTCATGTGGGCTCCCTCCCCCTCTGGGATGGAATTCTTGTTGCACTGGCTTGCAATAGATTAGTAGTGCTAAAACTTAACCCCTTGCACTCCAGAGAAGCCTGTTTTTTGAATTTATTTTTGTGCACAGGGTTAGAAAGTCTGCCAACTTCATTCTTTTATCTGTGGCCCTTCAGTTTTCCCAGCACCGTTTATTTATTTATTTTTTTGTTCCCTGACCTATTTTAATTTGGCCCATATTATTTTAGGAATTTTGATCTGCCTCTTCATTGGGATACAATCCTTCCTTTTTTTTTTTTTTACATCATTTTGTACATTTTTTTTCCCATCTCAATTGTAATCCCCGCAGGTTTTCCATCACCAAGTCACCCGTGTGCCATCACCATAACCCAGCACCATTTATTAAAGAGACTTTCCTTGCTCCATTGTTTGGTTGTGTCTATTTTATCATAAATTAAGTATTAAAATGTGTATGTAGATTTATTTCTGGATTTTCAGTTCTATTCCACTGAACCAGACTTATAATTACTTTTATGCCTTTTATAATTGTTTCTAATGTTGCTGCTTTATAGCATAATGTCAGATACTATGATATCCTTATTTCCTTTTTTCTCAGGATTGTTCTTGTTATTCAAAGTCTCCATTGCTCCATATGAATTTCTGTATTTTTGTTTAATTTCTTTGCAGAATATTTTTGGTAGCTTGATGATGATTTCATTAAATTTATATATCACTATGTGGATAGCTATTTTTATTATATTGATTCTCCTCATCCAGGGGCATGAAATGTCTTTTCATTTCCTCTGTCATTAAGTTGTTTATTAACATTTTGTAGTTTCCCTTTTATGGGTTCTTCATCTCCTTGGTTAATTCTTTGGTAGTAGTTGATTCTTTTTGAAGAGATTGTGAAAGGAATTATTTTCTTAATTTCTTTTTCTTCTCATACATTGTTTATATATAAAAATCCCATGAATTTTTTGTACTGTATTTTTTATTGAGGCAACATTGGCAATAACATTGTATGTATTTAGAGATACAGCCTCACACCTCTTCAGGGTATATTATCACACACATTGAACACCAAATCACTCATAATCCTCAACTACAGTTCCTTTGGTCCCTTGTACTCTTTACTCCCTACCTGTCAGGATTTCCCTCTAATAGTTGTAATTCTCCAGTCAGATTTATAGGATTTGTTTTGACTTTTGTTTTCTGTTCCTTTATTTTGTTTGTGTTCCACTTATGAGTGACATTATGTGGTATTAATTGTTCTGCTTCTGACTTATTTCACTTACAGTGATCCCTTCAGTTACATCCATGCTGTTACAAATGGCAAGATTTCATCCTTTTATAGCTGCATAGTATTCCATTACATATATTATCACATCTTAATTCACTTATCTGTCATTGGGTGTAGATTTTCATAACTTGGCTATTGTAAATAACATTCCAATGAACAATACTACATAAATCCCTTTTAATTAATGTTTTAACATTCTACAGGTAAATACCTAGGGTTGCTACTACTGGATCATATTGTAGGTCTGATTTTAATATTTTGAGAGAACTCCATATTGTTTTTTCTAGTGGCTGAACCATTCTATATTCTCACCAACAGTGTTTCTTTTTCTCCGTATCCTTGTCATAATTTTTGTTTGTAGTCTTACTGTTACGGGCCATTCTTACAGGTGGGAGGTGGTATCTCATTATGATTCTGATTTGTATTTCTCAAATGGTAAGTGATGATGAGCATTTTTAATGTACCTATTTGTCTACAGTATATCTTTGGAGAAGTGTCCATTTAGCTCTTTTGCCCATTTTTTGTTTGAGCTATTGTTTTTTCTTTTTGTTGATTTTTTTTTTTTTGTTCTTTGTAGATCTTGGATATTAGTCCTTTATTGGAGATGTGATGTATGAATATCTTCTACCATGCAGTAGAGTGTCTTTATTTTAGTTTATTTTGCTGTGCAGAAGCTGCTTTGTGTGATGAAGTCCCATTTGTTTATTTTTGCTTTTGTTTCTTTGCCATTTAAGCTAATTTCCCAAAGACATCCTTGAAGCCAATGTCATGGAGTGTTTTGCCTATTTTCTTCTCTATCTTCTATGGTTTTAAGTCTTATATTTCAGCTTTAATCCATTTGAATCCATATTGTGTATGGTACGAGGTAGTGTCTAATTGTATTATTTTGCATATGACTATCCAATTTTCCTGACAGCATTTATTAAGTGGACTTCTCTTTTTCCATTGTATGTATACTCCTAACTGTATAGTCATAGATTGTGTGAACATATATATATATATGACCCATATAGCCTATTTCTTTAACAACACATTTCTTCAGAAATAATTTGAGTGACTTAAATATGTCTCTCTTATTTGAAGTCTCCTAATAGTCTAGTGGTTGATTATGATTGAAATTGCTCTAGTGTTATTTAATAACAGGTTAAAAAAAGAAACACCTGTGTTTTCTTTTGGATTCTTTAATATCATATTGTTCTTGCTTCCCCTCCCCCACCGTAAATTAGAGTGCATTTCCTACTTGGATTAAAATAATAGAATTTTTGTGTGTGTTTTTATTAAAATTAAAATTTTGATTTTAGGCATGTGTGGATGTCAGAGCCAGTTCAGTGTTTTGGCAGCAGATGGAATTTGCAGAGAAGCGCAGTGGTCATCCCAAGTTACCAGAATGGTTATCCACACACCCTTCTCATGGAAACAGAGCTGAGCACTTAGATAGACTCATACCTCAGGTGAGCTAAGCCCATATAATGCAAGGAGTTGTTTTACTGTTTTAAAGTTTGTTGTAAATTTATTTTTACTGGTATTTATTTTTAATGCTATTACTTCTTGTGTGTAATAAGAGAGAGTTCTAGCTTCTCAGCTATTTTGAGTACTATAATTATGGTTCACTACTTTTCAAAGGATTGGAAAGTAGAGTCCTGTTTGTCTATAAGTCCCTGGGAATAGATTGCTGAATATAGTTGGATTTTCCCCACTATAAAGGTTTAGCCTTTTTTTGGTATCAGATTAATTTTAGCTGATTTGTTGATAGTCTAGAACTCAGGGTGTACTTTTCAACATAATGATTGTAATTTAATCTTTTCTTGTTGATTTAAGCATATTGTGAAAATCCCAGTAAATGAGTTGTATAAAAGTTTTGGGTCAACTTAGTAATATTTATAAAGATAGAATCAAGTATGTACTGTGGGGCTTTCTGGCTTTCTCTTTTTTAAAGAAGTCTAAATTAATGATCAGTGAATGTTGATCATTTAAAATATTTTCACTATCTTTTGAAAATCTTTTGCTTTTTACAACCATTTTTATTGAGGTAACATTAGTTTATAATACCGTAAAGCTTTTAGATGTAGTTTTTCACCACAGCTAATTTGTTAACATCAAATATTAGCAATTGAAAGCATTATAAATGCTCTCTCTGGTTTTTATATCAGTATAAAATGGATGTCAGACTTCTCCTAGCTAGGTTATATGTTTTGTTATGTCTCACCACACTAAATTTTCTGGTTGATTATGAAGGCAGAATATTTTTTAGCAATTTAAAAATTAGTATTGTCCTGTTTCCTAAAGGGTATACAAGTATCCAGTATATTATAGAAATATTTCTCAGTGTGACTTCAAACTCAGCTTAACAAGTTTGATTATCTATTATAAGAAAAAATGATGGTGTCTCCCTGGTGGAGCAAGGGGTTAAGTGACAGCCCTACGAAGCTCTCCACAGCCACTGTAGCATGAGTTTGATCTCCGACCAGGGAGCTGACCCACATGGCTCAGCAGACTCTCCTGTCTTGCCCGTTGCTCCCCTCAGCAGTGTATTTCAGTCTGCCTGTTTTTTCTCCCCATCCTGTCGCTGGTGAATCTTCACACCCTCCACACTTCTAGTATGTACTTGAGTTCTTGTATGCATAAATAAATACATCTTTTAAATAAAGAAAAAAATGATGCCAAGTACAAGAAATACAATGAGAAATAAGATATGACTTCAAATTTTAAGGATGCTAAGGTTAGTACAGAATAGTTTTTAATACAATAATGGTTTCTCTTAAGAACAGTAGAAATATAGCAGTATGGAGTTTGAAAGAAGAATTGCCTGCTTCAAGTTTGGGGTAAAAATTATTGCAGAATCTTTTCGTTCATCCATGTGATCAATATTTATTAATATTCACTGGTAATACACCATCCTGTCTTTTATTGCTAGTGAATCAGCATAGAAAAATATAGTTTTAGCTTTCTCAGAGCTAAGATTTTAGTTAATGTAATTAACAAGTATATAAATGGATACATCAATCAATTATAAGCTCATTGGGGAAATTTAAAGCAGGTGGAAGGTAGTGCAGAGGACATACTATCTATATTCAGTGATCAAAGGAGGCCTTGTTGAATAGAACTGGAAATATTCAGGGGAACAAGTCTTGTGGATATCTGTCTAGACGGGGATTCTCTCAAGGAAAGCAGAAAGAGCAGAGGGTCTGAAGTGAAAGTATGTTTGGTGTGTTTAAGGAATAATACATAAGCTTCTGGGGCTGCATAGAATAAAAAAGGGTGAAAATGATGGCAGTACAGAGGCAGCAGAACATAAGGAGTGTTCTAAACCATTATAAGGTTTTATTTGAAGTGATACAAGAAGTTATTGGAGTGTTTTGAGTAGTGAAATAATGTGATCTGACTTATGTTTTATAGGGATCATAGAGGATACTGTGTGGAAAATAAGCTGTGGTGGGGCAGTGTGGAAACATGATGCTATTCGGAGGACTCTTGTAATAATCCTTACAAGAGTTATGGAGGCAGAAGAGAGGTAGAGAATTGGCTAGATTTTGGATCTATTTTGAAAGGAATGATGACAGGATTTGTTGAGAATTTGAATGTACTTTGCCTTTTATGAGTTAGCAGACAGCCAGATATGGTTCTGGCTATCTAAATTTGAAGAAAAAAATTCTTTTTTTTAAAAAAAAAACAATTTATTTATAGATGCATACAAGAACTGGGTGTAAGCCAGAGGTATGGGGGTGAAAGGATGTACCACTGTCAGAGTGGGGAGCAGAACCAGCAGACTGATTGAAATATACTGCTGAGGGGAGTGGAAGGTGAGACAGGAGAGGTCTGCTGGGCCCTGTGGGTCACCTTCTTGGCCTGCTCGGGATCTATCTCATGCCACAGTGGCTGAGACAGACAGATAGATCTTTAACCCCTGCGCAACCAGGGAGGCTCTGAAGAAAAATTCTTAACAAAGAAACAGCAGGGAAATATACTTAGTATAACATACAGAAATCACTCATCTTAAAATGGAAACATAGGACCGGGACAACATTTATTTATCAGTAACTGGTTTGTAGCAGACATGCCGAAGATAACTGATTTCAAGAGCCTTGTTAGCACTACCAAGGACCTTATACCACACTTGGAGATTTGACCTAGCTTTAAAATCTTAATAGCCATAGGGTGTACTCACACAATTCTCTTTCTTTTTACTTTTTTGCTCAGTTAAATTCTGAAACTACATAATTTGCATTTACTAGATAGTGAATTTTTGCCAAATTTCTTCTGAAGCCTTTCTTAAATTCTGAGCTATCATTTTATCATCAGGTAATTATGGATCATCAGGTAATTATGGTTAAAAAAAGTACATTAGTGAAATCTTTAAAATAATAATGAATTTATTAGTAAGTGTGAAGAAAAATAGTTATGTTAGTTGGGAGCCAATGAAAAAAATTGGAGAGGTATTTTTCTACTAAAAAAAAAAACTATCCTGGTTTAGAAACTTAATTTGAAAACCTGTTATAATTTTTTCCCTGCCCTCCTCAGTGAGTCAATTCAATTTCAAAGTAATAAAACTCTACTGTAATATTGGGAGTAATTCAGTGGTTGAAGTAAAACTGATAGTGCAAATGTATATTGTTAATTAGAATACAGTCATAACTCAGAGTTTGGAATTCCTTACTATCATAGGTCTAATTTTTATAATGAAAGTGATTCCTCAGGCAGTGTATAGAATTATGTGAGTTTTTATACTCTTAAGGACGACCTTCTTGTTCAATTTTACTTAAAATTTTTTCTCCTTAAGTTAATACAATCAGGTTACTTTCTGGCTAAGGCTCCTTTCCTTTGACATTCAAGAGAGTAGGCCTGCAGTGAGGAATAGCTCAGAGGTAGTTGGGAATACACCACCAGAGCACAGAGATGAAGATAACAGAGATTCTTAAAAAGAGATGATAATTGAAAAAATGAGAGTGGATGAGTTTACTTGGCAAGTGAACAGAGACGATCCCAGGCTTAAACGGTATGTCTTTTCCACATTTAGTTGGTAGGAAAACAGAGATATCATGGATTAGATTAATTAAGAGGAGAAAGGAACGTCAAAATCAGGATAGATTTGTTATGATTTCATAAGAACATGAACATTGGTAGCTTTGCCTTTTTAAAGTTTAACTTATTGAAGATTGTATATTTTTCTTATTAGATCCCTTGGATATCATTACATAAATGTGTTGCTTGTTTATCATAGCATATGCACATTTAAGATGCATATGCACATTTAAGTGTACATATTCACTAAATATTAATTGATTACTAATTTTGTGCTGCCAGATTGTAGGTTTTGTGTGGTATATCAAGGAAATAGACAAAAACTTCTGTTTTTGTGATATCTTATTCTACAGTAAAGACAGACAATAATATTAACAAATTAGTTACTATTGGGTTTCTCTTTCTGGCTTGCATACTTCTCATGTGTCCTCGCCTGGTAGAGAGAAGTATGGTATCTTGTCTTCTTCGTAATAAGGATACAACCCCATCCCTATCACTTATCTTTCCCTAACTCCCTCCCCAATGTGTCACATTCAAGTACCTTCATATTGGAGATTAGGATTGCAACATATGAATTTGGGGGAGTATGGACACAGTTCAGTCTGTAGCAGATAAATAATATTTGAGCAGGGAGGATTAGCTACAATAGCTGTTTGAAATGGAATTGGTCAGAAAACATTTCACTGAGAGGATGGTACTCAGAGAGTTAAATAAGTGAAAGAGAGCTGTTACTATCCTGGATGGATGAGCCTTCCAAGGAATAGGAAATGTAAAGGCAGGAGTGAGATTGGTGTATTTAGGAAGTAGCAAAGAAATCTATGTTAGCGGAAAGTGAGGTTGTGTGGGCCTTGAAGCTGATGGCAAAACTTGGCTTTTGCTTAGAGATGGGATACTAATGGAAGGTTTTGAGCAGAGGATTGTTAGATTACGATGTTCTGATTTTCTTTTGAAAGACATGCAATCTACAATTCTGAAGAAGGCAGTAGTATAGTCACATAATTTTGCAGTATTTTAGTATAGTATGTTCATAAAATAGACTAACTCCTTTTGTTTTGTTTTGTTCTGTCTTAAATCAAGTATACACCCCCAAATTATAAAAAATACAACCTTTTTATTTTTTATGTGAGTTCTGAGATAAATCACGTCTAATGCTTAGTTAAATATAATCCTGTGATCCATGAACATTTAAAAAAGATAAATACAGGGTTACAGTAATAATATTATTTGTAGTTAATAAGATGATATGTTATAATTTTATTTACTTGAAATAATCAGTTAAATTTAGAAAACACATCCCACATAGTTGGTTACCATAACAACTAGGGTGAAAAAATGAAGAACAGATGTTATATCAACCTGTTGATGTTTAATAGTGTGACAGTTTTTAAGATGGTAGTTACTGTTCAGATTTTAAATTTATGTATACCATAAT